TAAGCCCTCAGAACTCTCTGGGAGAAACCGGCACACACACACGCACTCTCTCTCTCTCTTTCTCACACACACACACCCCTATGACAGCTTCTACATTTGGAGCTGACAGATGTGCAAGGTAACAGCTCGGCACCGCCTGTGCAGCTGAGGCCCCGGCGTCGCGAGTGGGATTATTTCCAGTAAGGCTCAGGGTGGCTACGTGAGCGCACGGCCCAGTGTGTGTGAGTGTGTGAGTGTGTATGAGAGAGAGCGTTTGAGTGTGTGTGAGTGCGAAGCTTCTCTCAATCTCTCTCCCTCCATCTAAATCTTACTATGTTTTCAAGTCTTTCTGTGTCTGTGTTCCTCCCCGCATTGCTCGGCTCCCTGTCACGGTCCTGCTCACCCTACCTCAGTCTCGCCATGCCCTGCTGTGTCTATTCTTGTGGACTGGATGCTCCAGAGAGGACAGAAGGCTCTCCTCTTCTCAAGTTCTTCCCTTTGCCCCGGCTCCTTTTCCCGTCCCACCTAGGCTGGCCACAAGGATGGACTCTTAAAGCCCATTTTGTTCCAGATAATGTCTCTGCCCTGTGCACAGGGCTCCTGCACAGGGGGACAGGGTGGGCAGATCTGGGGCTCTCCTGGGCTGGAGAGAGCAGCCCCTCAACCTTGGTCGTTGGGCCTGGCCTTCTTTTCCTAATGAGCCAGCTCACCCTGACAGTCCCAACCCCCAACACAGACTAAGCCTAGCCCTGGCCCTGTGCTGACCCCAAATCTGGACTCACAGTGACCCTGACCTGGCCATATACTGGTCCTTAATTCTGAGCTCAGACTAGCCCCAACCCCTAACCCTGACTCTGTCCCCTAAACTTCCTTTCTCTGGGCAGCAGTCTTCTTTGATCTCTGCTAATGCCACGTGGGTTTGCGAGGTTCACAGCACGCTTTTTAAATTCATGAATTAGCCATTTCTCACAGCTCACTCTTCAGTGTTCTAGGGCACGTGGGGACACACCCAGATCCAGTGAATTGGAATCTGGGGTGAAGGAGGAGCAATGGGAAAGGCCTTTTTTTTTTTAAACTGCCCAGGTGGATTCTGACATAGGACAGCCCCACCCACTTCATAATACACACACTTGGGCTTTCCTTTAAGGATTCCAAGGAGGAATCCAAGGTGGGTTTGAACCCCCACATAGGGATGCCTGGGCTGGTGGGAGTTGGTCTGCAGAGACCTGACTCGCAGGCACCATCAACACACCTGAGCCATTTCAAATGCTTCACTGTACACCTGGCAGTGAGCCACTCCAGCATTCACCGGCTCACTTGCTTGCTCACTCTCCTCACTCACTCACTCATTCATTCATTCATTCCTCACTCTAAAGGGCCTCACTGGGTTAGGTCTGGGTAAGGTCTGCAGAATACACACAGCCTTTTTTTTTTTTTTTTTAAAGATTTTATTTATTTATTTGACAGAGAGAGACACAGCAAGAGAGGGAACACAAGCAGGGGGAGTGGGGCAGGGAGAAGCAGGCTTCCCAAGGAGCAGGGAGCCTGATGCTGGGCTCGATCGCAGGACCCCGGGATCATGACCTGAGCCGAAGGCAGATGTTTAATGACTGAGCCACCCAGGTGCCCCTTACACACAGCCTTTTGAGACCGATCCCTGGGGTCAAGCTAGGGTTTGGAAGGGCAGGGTGGGGGCAGGAAAGGCCTCTGCAGCAGGGGGACAAAGACCTGAACCAGAGTATGGGCCAGATAGATTCCTGCAGCTCTAAGAGGAGACACCAGGCCTGGGGAGTGGGAGACAGGCCCCTCTCTTCCCTTGCCCTTGGGTTGGGGACAGGGGACATGGGCCTGAGGGCTAAGAGACCACCGGGTAGCTTCCAGGTTAGTCAACTGAGGAATCATGCTGAGTCTCTGGGGTCAGCTGGTGGGTGGGCCTGAGACGTGGATCTCCCAAAGAAAAAGAAGGAACTTCCTTCTCCCTCCCTTTCTCCCTGCCTCCTTTTCCCCAACCTCTCCCTGAAAATAGAAATCCAGGGCTCTCTCAGTTCACAGTAAGGGCCGAAGGGGGGTGCATGATGGATAAAATGTGGGGAAAAGGGTGAGGTAAGGAAGTCTTGCTGGGAAGAACAATCATTCTAGGGTGAGAATGGGGAGGTGGGCCCTCCTTTAAAAGTCTGAGGGAACATCCAGCTTCAACTCTACCTCCCAGCCCTGCAGGCAGAAGAGCTCAGGACTAGGCTAGGGGAGCAAGAATGGCTCCTCAGCCACCCTTTAACCCTCCCCCCAGCTGGTCTCAGGGTCTCAGAGTGTATCCTCAGCTACCTTCCCAGCCTGCTGCCTAGTGGCTCTTCCCTGAAACCCCGGGTGGCAGAGATGCTGTGGGAGCTGGAGAGGTGTCACCCTGTGGGATCTCCACTCCAGGGCCTGGAAGTGCTCTCCACTCACCTCTCTGTCACCACACAGGACCCCAATGGTGAAGGAACATGCCGGCCACCCTGGTAAGCAGGGGTGTGTACCCGTGTACGTGAGTGTGAATTACGGCAAACACACGTTGGCACCGGAGGCCATGTTCCGTGGGGAGAGACTGTGGGTGAAGGAGACCAGAGGCAGTATCCCAGAGCCCAGCCCCTAAAGTGAGACATGGGGAGATGCTCGGATGGCGCATGTCCCCCTGTTTTGGTTCTGAATGGGAGGTAGGAGCCACCAGGCACCTCCAGGCTTGGCTAACAGTGGACTCAGGCAACAGCCTGCATTGTACTAAGGGGATGAAGGAAAAGAATTGGGGGGGAGGGTTCGGGAGGATGCTCCTGAGCAGCCTAGTCCCAGCTGGTCATGTTCATGGACAGAGGTGCTGGATGTCCCTGGGGTGGGCCTGGAATATTCCCCTCCCCTGCTCCTTACAGGCCAGCTGCTGGCCTCTAGCTCAGGGTATTAAACACAAAACCAAAAAACTGCCCAACTCGCTCTCATCAAAGACAAAGAGAAACCTTGTTTGTCTTTTGGCTAATCTGAGGCCCTGCTCGACCCTGCAGCTGGACTCTGGGCATGTGCAGGCATGTATTGTGTATGTGCTCGCGTGTGTTCATGTGTGTGGTGGCCAACGCCGGGCCGTGCACCCTGGGAACACAGATGGTTAGCAAGAAAATCTCCCTGCCCCAGTGGTAGGGGACCTGGGGAGGCTGAGTCCCGGCCAAGGAGCAAGGTCTGGAAAATCCTTGTGGCCCGAGCCCAGGGGTCACTAAGGAGGCCTTGGGCCTGTCAGGGAGAGTAATCCCAGCCCTTTGGTCCTCTCCAGCTCCCTGGGGAGCTCCCGAGGGTTCTCAATCCTAGAGTGCAGAGAGGAAAAAAGACGGGGGTTGTTTCCATGGCTCTTAAATCCCTCGGCTCCAGAGAGGACAGGTGTCAGGCATGGGAGGGCCTCGCCACCTGGTGGGGACATGTGGTACTCCTCACTAAGTCCTGGCCAACCAGCCTGGCAGGGAGAGGAAAACAATCCTGACCAGCCAGCCTGGGGTTGTGCTGGCTCAGACTTCTCTCACACTCCTGCTGGGGCAGGAGGCCAGGTGAGGAAATCCACCTAACACTCACCAGACACAAGGGGCAGCCCCCCTGGCCCAGCCCCACCTGCAGGAAGGAATCTTAGAGCTCCTCTAAGTTCTAAGGAAACTGAGCCCAGAGGGAGGAGGGCCCTGTGCAAGACCCCACAACATCTCTGTTACAGAGGTAAGTGGAACCAAGGGTTCCCAACTTTGAGGCTCATGCATTGTCCTGTGGGTCTGGTGAATCCAGAACAATCTGTCTAGACTGAACTCCAGTCCCCCTGAGGCCCCAAGTAGGAGTGGCAGAGTGAAGAGTTCTTGCTGTAGGTCAGCAAGCGGGGAGGGCATCTGGGCTGCAAGTGGGGCTCCAGGTTGATCTGGATCTTGATATTAAAAGGCAATAATATCTGAATCTCTGGGCACCTACTGCAATACTAGGACTGTGCTAAACATTTACAAACATTAGGTCACTTAATGCCCCCAATGACCCTCAGAGGGAGGTTCCATTTTTCAGATAAGGAAACCGAAACACAGAGAAGCAATTTACGCTGGGTTATGAGCTGGCAAATGGCAGAGCCGGGATATGAGTGCAGTGCTTCTGACTCCAGTGAGGGCAAATGCTCTGCTGGGTAACGAAAGAGCATGAATTACTTGCTCCTTCCTGGGGGCAGCTCCAACCCAGAGCCTGCCTCCGGAGCCGAGCGGCCCCGGGTTCTCCCAGAGGAACGGCCTCAGTGCGCCCTCTGCTGTGCATGAGAAGGAACAAAGAGTTCCCTCCTACACGCTCAGATGCACGGCTGAGTCCTGGAGAGTTGGCTAGCAGGGACCATGGTCTCTCCTCCTAAATAAGGCGCAGGGGCAAAGGGCTGGTTGACTAGCTGCAGACCACCACCACTGTGGAGCTCCCAGCTCTGCCGAATCTGCCGACAGCAGAAGGATGAGTTTGTTTACATACCTGGATTCTTGGGGCTTCCTTCTCTTGGAATATTGTCCACCTCCCCCAAAGGCATGTTGGTCCTAAGCCCACCCCACTGAGGACCAGGACCATGTGCCACATGGACTTTATCAGGAGGGCCCATGACAGACCGTCCCTTGAGGAGAAGCATCCGGAACACTGCCATGTGGGCAAAGGGTAGAATTGGGAGTCCAAGCAGGCCAGGGAGGCTGGGAGTCAGGCTCTGAGGCCTAAATACTCTTTGAATAGGTCAAGGATGGGGAAAGGGTAATAAAGACTGGGGTCAGCATAGGCATCTGGAGGAACAGGCAGCTGGGTATGTCCATCTTGGCCAACTCTGAACCCGAGCTTGCCACTGGGTAGGGCTCTGTGAGAAAAGGCAGACAACCCCAAGATAACACCCCTGGAAATAAGGGTAACTCCCCAAGTTTGGGTTAATTGCATTAAGGAACACCTCTGGACCCAGCGAGTCAGGAGTCATGGGCCCTGTGTCAGAGAAGGCAGGGGTGAATAAAGGACAATCTACATTTTATTTGTATCTGCTTTTTATTTGTACATAAATTCTCAGGGGCCCCTCCCCCCCATCTGGGGGACAGATGGTAGGTTCTGGAGGGAGGAGGCATCTGAATAAGGACACGAAGTTCAATGCAAGGTCCTGCTACCATGAGCATGGGGCATCCTTGTGTGCCAAACTTGCACTGTCCTCCCTCCCCTGTGGGCTGTGAATCTACATGGGCCCTCCTGTTTGACATTAGCTCAGCCAGGGACTGGCCATGAGAGCCCCCAACCTCTTCTCTTCAGGGTTGCAGCTTCTTGTTCTGATTATCCCATCCCTAAAATTCTATTTCTGGGGAAACAGACTACCAACAGCCATAACTTCTCTCTTCCAAGTTCCCCCTAACTCAGGGCAGTCAACAGACTCCTGAGAACTGGGATTCTAGTGACCCGAGGCCCTCACTGCCGGCTGGTTCTGAGGGCAGGACAGTAGGTATGAGTGCTTATCTGGGTAAGGCAAGGTTGGCGGTGCCCCTGTGGCAGAATGGGGGGTGGCACAGGGCTCCTGGGTGTGCCTGAGAGAGGGGGGAAGAAAGCCCCAGAAAGCCAAGGACACTGGCTTAATTATCATAGAAGTCAACATGGGCTCCAGACTTGAACGTGTCCTTTTGCAGCAAGCTTAGCAGTTTCTGGGCTGACATCTTACAATCCACAAGCTCCCCTTTTGTCTTCAGGTCCTGCAGCCTTTTTCGTAAGTCTGGGTCCATCGAGGTCTCCCGGGCCAACTGCTGCATGTCTGTGTCCAGGGGACCTAGGACATGAAGAGCCGAAGTTGAGGAGACATGGGCCAAGGCAGGGCCCCTGATGTGTGTGTGGAGTATGGTGGAGGCAGGTCTGGCCACTGGCAATACCTCACCCTGGCTGACAAGTGTGGTCAGGGTCATTCTGTCACTTTTGTGCTCCAGACTCAAATCCCGATGCCCCAGTGAACATGGTATCTCCAGACCACTGTATCTAGAACCAAGCTTTTCACCTCCTGTCCAGTCCAACTGGTACCTCCTCCTCCTGACTTTTCCATTTCTATTAATAAAATACTCTTCTCCCAAACTCAAAACTTCCATCCCCGGCTCTTCCCTCTCCACTCTCTTCCCACAACCAACGAGTCATCAAGTAGGACGGACCTTTCTGCTTCTACATACCCTGACGATGCGGCCCTTTATACAGCCCTGGTTCTCTCTCTGCTTCAGCTCCTTCTGTAGCCCTCTGCTAAATGCATCTTGCTAAAATATCATTGGGGTCGGCAAAGGGGTGGCATAGGAGTTTCTAGCACTTTTCTGCAGAAATATCAATATGAACTATTAGCTGCCCATGAAATTACCTTCACAAAAGCCAAGGATTCCGGGTAAAGGATTACACTACCTGGGTGAAGCACAGAAATAAGAAAGGATGCATTGAGGAAGGTAGGAAATATAGATGTGTATTACCCTTATCATCTGCCCCCAAGCCTGGGCATCCCAGTGTAGAGACACCCTCCCCGTGGGAGGAGAGTGAAGTAAGCACCCGACTTCACAGGGGATCCCAGAGCCAGCCCACCCTAGCACCAGGCCAACTCCCATGGCCCTAGGTGTCTCCCTCTGGGCCCCCATGAACCCAGGCCCCCAGCTAACCCCACTGCCTGCCAGATCCAGTGCCTCAGCAGCCCCAGGCGGGTCACTCTCGTGCCTGCTGGTTCCAGCCAGCTCCAAGCTCCCAGAAAGCCCCAAAAGCCCAGGCCCCCAATCCATTCCAGTATCAGCTGGCCCTTGTGGCCTGGGGTTGCTCCCATGGCATCAGGCTCCTGACAAGCTCCCATGAACATAGGTACCTGGCACATTCCAGCCAGCTCCTGTGGCCCTAGATGCCTCCAAGCTTGCAATCAGTGCCTGTAAACCCAGGCTCCCCGCCAGGCCCAGCACCATACTCACTACCATGGACCCAGGCTTTCAACCCACCCCAGCAACAGGCTGTCCATAGACTCCTGCAGCAAGCCTGCTACAGACATCACCAGATGGTTCACCCAGAATCACTGCATGGGTTGACTGGTAAAGGGTTTTGCCTACTGAAGTCAGCCTGTAAAGACTGGGAGAGGTGCCTCCTTCCTCCATGCACAGACACCAACAGGGGGCCACAAGGATCATGAATAATCAAGGACATGTGACACCACCAAAGGAAACCTATAAAACTCCAATGACTGACCCTAAAGAAATAAGATGTATGAATAATTCAAAATAATCCTCTTAAAGAAATTCAGTGAACTATAAGAAAATGCAGATAGATGGGGTGCCCAGGTGGCTCAGTTGGTTAAGCATCTGACTCCAGGTTTCAGCTCAGGTCAGGATCTCAGGGTCATGGGATTAAGCCCCACATCAGGCTCTGTGCTCAGCGTGGAGTCTGCTTGAGATTCCCTCCCTTTCCCTCTCTCTCCCCCTCTGCCCTTTTCCCCTTCTCCCCACTCACATGTGCTCTCTCTCTCTCTAAAATAAATAAAATCTTGGGCGCCTGGGTGGCTCAGTTGGTTAAGCGACTGCCTTCGGCTCAGGTCATGATCCTGGAGTCCCGGGATCGAGTCCCGCATCAGGCTCCCTGCTCGGCAGGGAGTCTGCTTCTCCCTCTGACCCTCTTCCCTCTCGTGCTGTCTCTCTCTCATTCTCTCTCTCTCAAATAAATAAATAAAATCTTAAAAAAAAATAAAATAAATAAATAAAATCTTAAAAAAGAAAATGCAGATAGACAACTAAATGAAATTAAGAAAACAATGCATGAACAGAATGAGAAGTTCAACAAAGAAATAGAAACCACTTTAAAAAAAACACAACAAACCCAAATCCTAGACTTGAAGAATAAAACTTCTAAACTAAAGAATTCAAGAGAAGTCAACAGCAGACTCAACCAAACAGAAGAAAGAAATGAGTGAATCATAAGACAGGTCATTAGACATCATCTAGTCAGAAGAGCAAAAAGAAAAAAGAACAAAAAAGACTAAAGATGATTTGAGGGATACCATCAGAAGAGACAATCTACACATTATTGGAACCGCAGAGAAATAATGGCTGAGAACTTCCCAAATCTGCGGAAAGATTTGTATATCCAAGCTCATGGAGCTAATAGGTCACGGCAAAATTTCAACCCAAAGTTATCTTCTTCAAGACACCAGGCCTATGAGATTTCACTGGTAAACTGTGTGTGTTTTCATTACTATTCCTTTGTGACGTAGTTTGAAATCAGGGAGCGTGATGCTTCCAGGTTTGTTTTCCTTTCTCAAAATTGCTTTGGTTATTTGGGAATTTTTTGAGGTTTCATACAAATTTTAGGATTGTTTGTTCCATTTCTATGAAAAATGCCATTGGAGTTTTGATAGGGATTGCACTGAATCTATAGATAGATTTGGGTAGTACGGACATGTTAGCAGACCAAGTGTCACAAGACCCCTTACTGTTTAACTTTCGTGAAGACAGGGCTCTCTCTTATTTACCCCAGCATCCCCACAGTGTTCTGGCACAGCTTAGCCTGGGGTGGCCAGCACTTCACCATGTCTCTCTGCTCTTCCTTCAACTAACGTTTCCTGAGGACTGACCAAGTGAGGTGCTCCGCTAGGTGCTGGGGACATACGGGTGCACAGTGCACAGTTCCTGCCTTCAGGGTTTTCCTATCAGGAGAAAGAAACACAGATTTGAAGAGGATACAGTGTGGTAAGTCCTACCTAACATTAAGAAGTGCTAGCAGTCAGACAGCACTTCACAGCTAGGGATCATTTTCACGTATATTACCTCATTCAGTCCTCCCAACTGCACCTAGACAGGTCGCATCTTCCCTGGTTCACATAAGGAAATATGGTACAGGCCTGAAATTCAAACCCTCTCAACTCTAGTATCTCAGATTTTCTGGCCCCACCCTCCAGGCCGGGCAACTCCCCTGTCTCTCCCCTTATCTTCTAACTACACTCCCTATCCCAGGCAGCTCTGACTTCTGGAGCCTGTATTTCCTTAAAGGAGTGATGGTTAATGATTGAGGGACAATAAACTCTGTGGCTTCTTTCTTGGAGGGGACAGACTAGGCCCTTTCCCCACCCCCAGAGGGGAACCAGCCAGTTCTGGGTGACAGGGATGGCAGTAAAGTCCCACCTACCTGGGGCATAGCTCAGCACCCTAACACTAGGTTCCTCTGCGGCTAGAACCTGGAACATCATGTCACGGGCAGCCTTCCCCGCACAGTACAATCCCCAGCCCTTGAAGGGCTGCAGAGCACAGAGGGAGGAGATGTTAACCACAGTCCTGCTGAGGCCAGGACTGTCTGGAAAGGCCTTCAGGATACTAGAAGTCAGACAGAGCATGGAGGTCAAGTTGAGAGCCCAGTAGTTGTTCACTTCAGCTGGATCGGCCAGGTCCACGAAGCCTTTGGACACGTCCCCAAGAGTGCCTGAAAAACCAGACCTGAAGAATCACTCTGTGCAGATGGGTTTTCTCTTCCCCCAGCCCTCTCCAATTTCTAGACACCCCCTTCCCATTCAAACCTAGAGGAGTATCTCTAGCGCTTCTGAAGACGCCTCCCTCTTCCCAGCTCTGCAGACAGACAGACACACCTGGGGTTGTTCACTCATCCCAAATTGCAAACTGAAAGTGTGCATGTCCTGCTCTGGGCCTGGGGGGAGAACGCAGGAGGCCATTTGGAAAAGACTGTATTTACTTTTGCTGGAAGACCTCAGGCCTCCGCCAGAGGGCGCGGAGCTAGGCGATCGGGAAAGTTCTACAGGTATTTTGGAAAATTTGCCCAGAAATGGGGGGGGGGGGGAGGGGAAGAATGAGCCGCACCGATGGCAGCGAGTCTCCCTCCGTACCTTGCTGAAACAGCTCGGATTTTCAGGCATCTTTTCTGACTCCTAAGAGTGACCTTTAAAGTTCTAGGGGTGGGGAAAGTGAGAAGGAGGAAGAAGAGCTAGGGGCGCTAAGCAGTATTCCTAGGGCTCCCACGGGGAGTCCGCCGCCGCCGGCGGGCGCCTTACCCGCATTGTTGATGAGCAGCACCCGCTGTAAGCCCTCGGGCCTGGGGAGCTCGCGCAGGGCCCCGAGCAGCTGCTGCAAACCGGCCTCGACGCCCAAGTCGGCGGGCACCCGCACCACGCGCAGGCCGGGCCGCCCGGCGTCCAGCTCCGCCTCCAGCTGCCGCAGCGCCTCGTCGTTGCGGGCGCTTAGGACCAGCACGGAGCCGGGCGACAGCAGCCGGGCCAGGAGCGGAGCCAAGGCCCGGCCGAAGCCACGGGAGGCCCCGGTCAGCACGCACACGGCGCGTCCCAGGCCGCCGTCCCTGTCCTTGCCACCCTGCATGCCGGCAACCCGCAACCTATCGCGCGGCGACCCGGGACTGGCAGGGGGGCGGGGCGGCCGCGGTTGGAGTAGGCGGAGGCCTGGCCGGAGGGGGCGGAACCGAAAGCTTCGGCCGCGACTGAGAGGCGCCGCTTTTCCTGGCCGCGGCGGGCGCAAGTGCAGGCGCCTGCGCGGTCCCAGTCTGCGGGAAGGGGCTACGAGGCACCGCCTCCACCCGGAATCCTAACCCAGTTCTGGGCCTGGCCTCATTCTACTACCACCACCACAACCCGCACCCCTCCCCGCACTTCCGCACGTTCATTCCCCCGCAGGGCCGCATCCTCCTCCCAAGTTCACACCCCACCTCCTCGCACAAGAGACCTCCTCCAGGCCAGGCCATCCGGCTCCGTGCTGGGCATCCCTGTAAGCGGCCAGCAAAAGCCCAGAATGCGGAGCATGCCAGTTTAGGGCTCTGGGAACTCATCGCTCTCAGCTTAACGGGAGCTACCTCTGGGAGCACCACAGTGGCTCCTCCAAGTGGTGTAAAAACCTCTTCTCCCTTTCTAGACTCAGGGCAACGCTGTGCTCCAGCCAGTTCCCCTTCCTCTGAGATTTTGGGGTCTCCTGCTTTTACAGGTCTGTGTTACCCCGATTTCTGCACCCACTCACGCTACACGTTTCCGAGCGGTCAATTGCACCTACTCCCAACTTCTGAAAGAGGACTGCAATTACTTCCATTTTGTCTTTCAACTTTCTGATTAAGTTCTTTCTAGCTTATCTCTGGACTCAGGCCACCAATCCTATCCCCTCAAGCAACCCCTCAAGCAATAGGGACTGCTCCCACGCCAGCAAGACCCGGTGTGATACAATGGTTGGTTTGACCTTCACTGCCTATCTGTAGTACCCACCGACCTGTGTCCCACATTTCCCTAATATAAACCTGGAAGTATTTTTGGCACTTTGAAGGCAGTCTTTGAGACGTTAGTCTGCTGTCTTCCCAGTGAAATAAATTCCTTTCTGGTTTCACTGCCACTCTGCTCTCTGCCTTTGGATTTTGTCAGCTGTGAATGGCCAAACCTGGTCTGTTTGGGACCCTCTGAGCCAAGTGTCCTTGCACCCCTGTGCCCCGGCTACACTTCAAGTTTACGCAATCAGCTGAATCTGTAAATCCAGACCTGTACTTCAGAAAACCCACATTTCCGATTTTTTTCAAGGAGAGAGGGAAGATAAGGTCGGGGAGACAGCTTCAAATCTGAACATAGAGACTTCAGAGTTTAGCAAGGGTGGTAAGTAACTTCTGATAACTCAGCCCAAGTCCTCACAGGGCTGTTCTCTCTCTCCGAGTGGACAGACTGCAAAGTTGCCTTTACAGGCTCCAGGAAAAAAATGCGTTTTGCTTGCTTGTGCTGTGTGGGCTATCATATCAACACCAAAACAACTTGGGAAGGTTTTTACTGGTCAGCGTGGGTTTCCTTACTGCAAACTTTTTGTAAAATGTGCAGTTCAGATTGCACCATGGAACATACTCTAACAACAAATGAAACTGCAAAGAAATCTTAAACGTCATTTAGTAGATTTATTGTCAATATGCACAGTATTATTTTGAAAGTATTTGATGAAAAGTAGGACCAAAAAAAAAAAAAGTAGTTATGCTAATGTTGTTAGGAGCCCAAATTTTCAGTGTTAAAGAGACCAGGTGTAAATTGAAGGAAATTAAGGGAAAAGTCTGTAAAATTGAATTTGAATTGGAAGCCAGAAAATTGTATATTTATTGCAACTACTTTTACTATTATTCGATAACACTAAAACCATGTTTTTCCTCTTCTGGGTATGTTGGTTCTCCAGTATCTATGACTAACCTTTTTAAGACTTCTTCCTGCAATAATGGCAGAGATTAGAGGATGCCCTGTGAAAATTAATAAAAGGAAATCTCCTTTAAAAAAAAAAAAAGAAAATCTCCTTTAGAATGGAATTGGGAGGGCCTCAGGGTGAGCTCTCATGCCCTATCACTTATCAGTTACACACAGATCCAAGGGAAGAGAGGGACCTCGCACATGGATACTGCTTTACTATTCCAGCAGGAGGAAGAAAGGCTTTTCTCCTGCTGTGGCAACAGCCTAGCCAATGAGAGACTGCAACAACTCAGTCAATGAAAAGCCATTGGCCCTACAAAGTTCTTGCTGGAACTGTCATGGCCACTATATACTTTGAACTCCCAGTCTACTCCAATGGACTTTCTATGTATAACTTCCCAACTTCCCCCTTTCCTCTATAAAAAAAGAATTCCTCTCTTCTGTGGGGGAATGCATCCTCTGGGGTGTGATTCTCTGCTATTCCCAAATAAACCCATTTTTGCTGGTAAAATAACTGGCAGTTTTGTTTTTTAAGGTTAATGTTACTTGGTGCTCAGAAGTGGGATGCAAAGAAGGCCCCCAACAACTCAGAGGCTGGTGAAGAAACATGTCAGCACCCACAGAGCCAACTGGGCGCCTACTGCTTTCTTGCTGACCCTGGAGTTTGAGGTAAGTTTTCTCCTGGATTTTGAGCTCCATGCTTTGTGTTTGCACTCTCCAGGCTTTATTAGGATGTTTTAAAAGGCCTTGCTGTTTGTTTTTTTGTTTTTTTCTCTGAGAGTGCTCATTTGGCTTTTGGTCAGACTTCTTTTGGGGACTGTTCCTGTTCCTGTTGGAACTGTGCCTGTTGGACCAGCACTAGCCTTCCGTCAGACTCCTGTCTGGACCCAGACTGTTCCTGTTGGAACTGTGCTGGCCTTTAGTCTGATTCCTTCTGGAACCAGGCTATTCCCGATGCAACTGTGCTGTTCAGGAATTTTTCTCTTTGCCCTAGAGAAAAACCTCTATAAAATGGGATCACAGTCATCAAAATGCTTTGAGGGTACTGCCCCCCTCCCCGCCCTTACTGGGACTCTGGCTGGCTTTGTGTTTAAAAACTATGGTCCCTCTGCCTACACATTTATAACTAAATGGACTGACTTAACCAAAAGTAATTTAGACCTCCAATGGCCATAATGGGGAACTTTTGATCTCTCTAAGCCTATTTTACTCAAAATTAAATTAGAAAGCCATTGCTCCTTAAAAGAAAAAAAAAAAAGAATGGGATGCCTATTTTAAGTGTTATCGATAAAGTAAGCAATTAGTTTGAAGTGAGCTGGAGGCAAGGATGGTGATAAAGAGGTTACACATTAGAAGTCTTAGAAGGCCGGGGGCACAACATCCTGACTTTGTGGCTTCCAAGACCAACAGACCAAGAGCCACAGGTGCAGAGTATGCCCTCTCCTCTTCTACCTCTGCCTCAGGGTAACCTCTAGCTTCACTGTAATATATTTACGTTATAGTTACAGGCCCTGTAGGGGAAGAGGGCCATTACAGTTCCAGAGGAACCTTGTAGGGCCAAAACTGCGCCTCCCAACCAGTAGGAGGCATCCCTTAGATGATGGGAAACAACCTCAGTCAGAGGTTGACCAATAACCTATGCAAACATAAAACGAAAAGACGCCCCTAATCCCTGTACAGTTGCTTCCTCTGGGCCTGCGCACGCTCCCTTCTTGACAGTGTCCTCTCCTTAATAAACGGCTTTGTGCCTGCTACCTTCCTCCCGGCTGTGTCTGAGTGCGGATCCTCACGTGAATCTTCCGTGGGGAATCCATTCACGTAACGGAGACTCTGCCACGGCTAACAGTACCTTGAGGCTCCCCAATATCTTCAGACCTCGCTTCTTCTAAACCTAGCTGTTCCAGAAGGACCTGTTTGAAAACAGCCCCCAAGGACAGTGTGGTTTACCTGGACTAGGAGAAAGCCTGGAAGAATCTTCCTTTTCTAACAAAGTTGATTATCTGCCGCCCCGACACGCACACTGCCAGTCTTTTTTTTTTTTTTTAAGATTTTATTTATTTATTTATTTGAGAAAGAGAGGGAGAGCATGAGCAGGGGGAAGGCAAAGGGAGAGGAAGAGGGAGAGAGAGAAGCAGACTCCCCACTGAGTGGGGTGCGTGATGTGGGGCTCGATCCCAGGACCCTGAGATCATGACCTGAGCCGAAGGCAGACGCTTAACCGACTGAGCCACCCAGGCGCCCCTACCAGTCTTATTTCAAGCAATATTTCAGCAATTTGTGAATAATATTTCAGGGGCAACACAACCCATAGAATCCCTTTATAATAGCACAATGGTTCCCAAATTTGTGTGTACATTGGAGTCACTGCAGAACTACAAAAACACTTGATGCCTGTGTCCCACAGGCCTGGACTTGGGAATTTTGTAATTAAATTTTTGTTCAAGTTACTTAAACTAAAAAAAGAGAGAGAGAGAGAAGAAAAGAATTCACCCATTTCTCCCAACCTCCATCTCTTGTAACCACCAATCTGTTCTGTTTATTTTTGTTTGTTTGTTTGTTTAGATTTCACATATAAGAGAGATCATACCGTATTTATCTTCTCCGTCTGACTTACTTCACTTAGCATAGCGTCCTTGAGGTCCATTCATGTTGTTGCAAATGGAAAGATTTCATTCTTTTTTTTTATGGTTGAATAATATTTATCCATTCATTCATCTATGGCCATTTAGGTTGTTACCGTATCTTGGCTATTGTAAATAATGTTGCAGTGAACATGGGGGTGCAGATATCTATTCCAGTTGGTATTTTTGTTTTCTTTGCATAAATACCCAGAAGTGGAATTACTGGATCATATGGTAGTTCTATTTTTAATTTTTTGAGGAAACCCCATACTGTTTTCCATAGTGGTTGCACCAATTTACATTCCCACCAGCAGTGCACAGGGTTCTCTTCTCCACATCCTCACTCTTGTTATTAACACCTGCTGTTTCTTGTCTTTTGATGATAGCCATTCTGACGTGTGTGAGGTGATAGCTCATTGTGGTTTTGATTTGCATTTCCCTGATGATTAATGACACGGAGCATCTTTTCTTGTACCTGTTGGCCATCTATATGTCTTCTTTAGAAAAATGCCTATTCAGGTCTCCTGCCCATTTTTAAATTAGATTGTTTTGATGTTTTGTTTTGGTTTTGTTTTGTTTGTTTTTGTTTTTGTTTTTTTGTTTTTTGGTT